AGATAGCTGGTCGGGTGGAGATGGATATGCCCAACAAGGCTCGCATAGTTCATCATATGAGAAGTCTTACGATAAGTATGATTCATACGACAAGTATGGAAGGAGGTACTAGTTTTAATTTTGTACAAATTGTGTATTAAGTGTATTTTATCCATTTTTGTCGCTGTTAGTTGTTAATGGTGGTGATTGGATAGTATTAATCTTGTGAAGTGGTTTTCCTGACTGAATCTTGAATGTCATGTTTTTTGGTTTATTTTGTTACCGAAGTCTTACGGTTCTTCATTTACACTGTAATCGAAGTGCATAAAATGTTTCTTTAGGCTATGTTGTTTTCCTAGTCTAAAGCTTAAATTAATTTATTGGTTAGATTGATTTTCAATTGTTATTTGTGTAAGTTGACTCATTGCACTTCGAACTAGTGAAGTCATTGCTTGGTATCTCATTTAATTACTTCATTTTGTTTTAATTGTTTTTGAATTGGAACCGCAGAATAAGCTTCTATATCATGCTTAGATTAATTGCACTTTTTTTTTTCCCTGCAGTCCCTTGTTGGGCCGTATTTTAAGAACCTCTTCAGCTTCGAAAAGGTTTGAATATTCCGTTGATTTATTTTTGATGATCTTAAATTGGCAGGTCATGAATTTTCTCAATATTTTTGAGTTACAGTGCTGGATTTGTATGTTCTGTTGCTTTCTGTATATTTTTCAAACCCCTATTAAGCTTATAACAGTCACCGTGACTAACATTAAAAACTTACGCTTCTGGAATGCAGTTACAGTTGCTCTTCTTTTCTGCACAACTCAAAGAGGGCTGGAGGGAGATAACTTGCACTACGTTGCAGTTTCAAGGTAGACGCCTAGTGATTTCCTTGTAGTAGAAATGCAGAAGCCTACACGGAAAGTTGGCTTTAAATTGGAGCGGTATCCTTTTTAGGAGGTAGAAAGAACACTTGTGGTGTAGTTCCAGGTCGTTAGGTATGAGCGGGTCAGTTCGAATTTTTACTCCTAATTTTTCTGTTCTGGGGTCCTTTGACGACTGGGAAATCTCAAACTTGTGGTCTAGCTCTAAGGTGTTTCTTCCGACATGGGTGTTTAGAGATTAACTATTATTTGCACAGTACTATTGTTAAATAGACCTCTACAAGTTCTTTGTAAAATATTTTGGAGCCGCTGGGTCACTGGCAATTTTGGTACCTTTCTAAGGTGACGTGTTGAGCCAAGTTGCTTCCAAAACTCCTTGGCGATCACTGATTTTTTAAAGTCAATTTGAGTGGACGCGGTCAACAGCTTTTAAAAATTTAGCTGTTGGAGGTTGAGCCTTTAAGCACAGTGAGTTGCGTAAGTCGCTCTCTGTGTACCACAAATGAGTGCTCAAATTTGTGGATGGCAGTGTGCAGTTCCTCCTGCACGTTGAAATGGTTGATAAGATCTGTTCCAATAAATGTAACCTACTAAGACTCAAAATTACTTTGCAGTGCAAAGCTCTTCGGTTAGTATATTATTGTCTCGATTTTTTGAATAGGACTTTATGACGTCCAAATCTATATGGCACGTACAGATCATTGGTTACTCGTTCTTCACATGTAGCGCTGGCTTCTATCGATTTCTTTTTGTACTTGAATGAGAATCTATTGCATACAGTTTTCAGTGATGTAAGTACCTTTCCCTTTCTAGCCTATTCAAATAAGCAAAAGCTGGTAAGCCAGTTATTCACCGAATATTTCATTTTTTATTAATCACTACTAGAATAGAGGATACGCTAAGGAATTACTGGTTCTAATGTGAAATAACGTTGCTTTTCACGCGGGAACTGTTAATGAATAGTTGTTTATTAGAGTGATATTCAGAGAACATGACATAAGTTAGAGGCAGTTGATCATCAGCAGAAGAAAATACAATAAAAACTGAAACCCTACTGTATTTCTAGAACAGCTTTTATTCTAAAAGAGTTACACCAAGGAGCGCGATATTCCTGTCTAATATTACTACCGTACAAACTGTTTGTCTAGCTGCATTTCGTTAGTTTAAACACACTGCGGAAAGAAAAATGGTGATACCGCAGAAACTGACTGCTTTAGATCTGTTGTTTTCAGAACGGCATGAGAACAAGAGCGGAAGACGCTGGCTATGAAACAATAATTTGAGTGCATGGTGTGAATTTAACCACTGTGCAATCTGATTAAGAAAATAAAGGCATAAATATTTTGAAAACAAATCTTAGACTGAGGGGTAAAAAATTAGACATTAAAATACCAAAAAGCAGAACTTAATACGATAAAATGGAGGGCAGACTTGAAACCTCGTAAGATGACCTTCTCGCCCGATCATTTACCGTATAATTTTATGTACTGAAAGTGACAAGGTCTAACACCATATTATTCCCATGAGACTACTCTTCGCCGATGCTGAAATTACATTCTTAATATCATTTGGTTTCTTAACATTCATACAACTGACGGTCTCTTCCTCAAGCGGCTCTAGTGAATCAAAAGACGTGTGCGACCAAATCTCTTCAAACATCCAGAACCAGTAGTTGCGAAGGCTGAGAAAAGTTGCCAAGTTTTGTACTGAATTTACAAATGAGCCACGCAGAGAATACAAAAAAGTATAAATAATGCCTACAACCTTCTATTAGGAACTAAACCACTAGAAAGAAAAGCCAATACTCTACGGTGTAAATGAAATAGTGCAGTTGAAAGCATAAAGTCTGCACAGAAAATGAAAGGTTGAGTACTTCTCAATCAAGCCGCGGCGAACGTTAATGAAACTGAAAAGAGCTACAGAGTACTACTTTTTAAATTAGGTTATCAGGGCTGCGAGAAGGCGGAACTAGGTACGAGTGTAACTGACAGTAGCGCATTAACAGAGGTGAACAAACCATACCCTCCGTAACTAATATAATACCCCTCCTAAATCAAAAATAGTACTTTGGTCCGAAAAGATAATACAGAAACTAAAAATGAAAAAACAAACAAATCTCCTCCCAGCAGTACTTGTTTAGACTGCAAGCAATGAACTTATCAGTAATGATCAAGTTAAGGATCCCACAAAATGGAAAACGATTTATTCCATTTATTATGCAGAATCCAAGCTGTTCAGCTAGAAAAACCACTCAACATTTTAAAACAAAATAATTAAAAAAAAAAAAAAACAAATACTCAAAGCACTTAAAACTGGTAATCAACTCGAAACGTCAGAAGAAAAGGAGGAAGACGAAAAGAATCGAAATGATTTAAAAGGGATCACTGCTTGTCAATCTGGTATCAGAGCCTTTTTACAGCACAATAAAACCGCCTTTTTATCCTTCAGTGAATGCATATAGGCTAAACATCCTAAATGGAAAAAATGTACAAAAGAAGTCAAATCAGCGATTAGAATAGAAAGGGAAGTTGCGTACAGACAAGAAGAAATAGCAGAAAAGGGAAACTACTGATACCTCAAACAATCAATTTGACTGAATTTTAACAAAAAAATCACACTTTGAACCCTAATGAAAAGCGATTATTACTATTGTTATTTTTTTGTTACATAATTTAAAATTAATAGAAAGCAATTGTTGGCAAAGTGTAAAAACCCTTGGAATTTTAGCATCAGTGATAAAAAGTAGCAGTGTACAGACAGGACATTTTCCGACGACAATTCCACTTGTAGTAAACCTCATAATTGTTTTTAAGCATAATGCCGCCACAAATAACGAAAAATCTAAAAATGAGTAGCGGATAATTATAAAATTTCAGTGTAACGATTTGCCATTACTATACTCTGTTTTATTTTTTGGAAACAGTCTTCTTATTATTTAATTCGCTATGCACTCAGTCATTTTCTCTGCGGTTTGTAATTCAGCTTGATGCAATAAAGAGAATTTTATCCTTTGAGTTAGAACTGCCTAACAGCTGCAGACAAAAGAAGCAAAACTTAGGAAACGATATTTAAGAGACGAGCTGGCAAACTAATGTATAAATCGAATTAAGCATCGGTGATGAACTTCGCCACCTGATCCATAAAATCATACGGTTTCTCTGCATGTACCCAGTGACCGGATCCAGGAATAACACAGAACTGAGCTTTTGGGAATAATTTCAGTATACGCCCGTGATCTTTTTCACTGACATAAATGGAATTACCACCAGAGATAAACAATGTCTTACAAGGAAAACAACCTTCTGAATCGTCCTGATCAAAAACGTCGAGTAGGTACCTCTCAATGGTTCCTAAGTTTGGCTTCCACTTCCAAGCTTTATTGCCACCCGCTAGGTTGGTAATTAAAAATTCCCGTACTGAAGAATTTGGAATTACTGCAGCAAGTTCCTGACTGATTTGATGGCGAGTCTGTGCCAAATTAGCTTTTTTCATTGCTTTGAGGTAATCGATGAACTGATGGTGATCGAAGTCGTCATATTTTTTTGGAGCTATGTCTTCAACTATAAGCGATTCTAACATACCAGCACTTTCGGGAGACAAAGCTATCTTCATAGCAGTTTTTCCCCCCATCGAATGACCCAAGAGATGAACCTTTATTCCGGCTTCCCCAAGTTCTCGCGGAATTATTTCCTTAAGAAACCGTGCAACGTCAGCAGCCATATCGTCATAAGTCATCGTTTCTGTCCAAGGAGAATCACCTGAAGATAATCACAATACCAAAAATTTCAACCTTCAGAAAAAAATGATTTAAGAACAAGAAAAAAATGATTTCGACCTGTAAATCACAAAACCCTACTAAACTAGAAGAAAATCCAATGACTGACAGCAAGAAAAAATGACCATGGTTTCTCAGGTCGACCGCAAAAACAGTAGTTTTGAGACGTTTGCTTAGCGCTTTTGAAACAGAATGCCAGTTCCGTTTATGACCGAACAGGCCATGGAGTATGACCAATGGCGGCGACTCCTTCACCGCCTCTACTTCATATTTTTCAAAAGTCAATTCCACTGCACAAGAAGAAACTGCACGAGTAAGTGGTAGAGACACACATTGTACAGTCCCCAAACGACGCAGTAACCATGACCTCATGCCCAAATAACCACTGCTGCAATTTCAAGAACTCAAAATTAAGAGGACTTAGTTCGACCAACCAGTGATACTTCAGTTTCTCTAAAAAGCACTGTAAAAACTTTCCCAAACACACCTAATTAGCTACGTTACGGGGCATTAAACTGAAAATAATTTTGGGGCTGTCTACCACTGCCTCTTCAGCTAACTCGGGACGTTCTGTAATGAGAATTCTGTAAGCAATAAAACTTGGCAATGCATTATTTTTTATTATAAAAGCAATTATCAATTAAAGCAATCACAAGGTGACAAACGAGTAGAATACAGATCATAAAACTAAAACTTCTTCACAACCCGTAACAACAGTAAACAGAACAATCAAGAAACTTGCATATTCGACACAATTTATGACTTCTTTTGAAAAAGAAGGTTACAAGCATTAAAAAGAATAACAAAAATATTATTATACAAAGATCAGAAAGATACTACCGCTAGACAAAAGCTTCAAACCTGAAGCTATACAGTTGATTTATAAATGCACCAGTTACATTTACCGCCCAATTCCAAACTAAAATCAAAGATGTCTTTTTATACGAATGGAAAGCCCGTGAAACTTGACAACAATGAATCCTTACCAAAATAGCTTACACAGTAAGCTTGAATAAGTTCAGACCTCCATAAACGGCTGAGCGATATATAACTGAACATCGAAATTGTTTATCTAAACGCATTCCCAGTAAGCATAAAATTAAGCAACACTACAGGACAGCTATAAGTATAAACAAAAATAAAAAAAAACATTTTTGAAGTTTTCGGAACATGATAGAACACAAGGTTTCTACAAATATTATACCTTGAATAGCGCAAAAAGTAAGCAAGGCATGCTATTACTTTTAATCAAAGAGCTATTACACCAAATTTACGTGTAAAATGCAGCATCTTAGGTTGCAACTGACTGCTGTTTGTCGCCATCGCTATTGAAGGAATGTATAGCACTGTTACTGCTGACACTCAAAGACTCTTTTGGATGTTCATATAAAGGAGATCTTCGATCTACTGCGGAAAGTTCTTCTGCCAATGAGGGATTAGAACCATTTCTTTGCAAAAGAGACATCAAATGCGGATTAGATGAAATCAACTGAGGATTTGTTGATGCCAATTTCTGTAAAAAAACTATCATTTTTTCATAAAAGCGCAAAACGTTAATCTTAGCGACAACAACAACAACAACAAAAAAAAAGATTGTTGCAAATTAAAGTTACTTGAAGTATAGAAGCAGTCTTCACGGCTGCAAAACGATGAGTATCACTTATTTCGGTCCCACCTATCTCCTTACTTACCCCTTCTGCCGACGTCTAAAAGATGTAAATTAAATAAACGAAATAAATAATGAACAAATAAAAGCAACAGGTATAAGGCATAGCAGGTGATAAAATACGAAAGTACATTGCATACTTCATCTCCTCCACTTCTCTGAGTAGTAGGGGCTACAACAGCAGTAGGAGTCTTTCGGGTCCGACTCATAATTGCTTGTAAACGGGCTTTCCTTTCTTCTCTTTCTCTCTGCGCCTCTGCATACTTCGACTTCTCAGCCACTTCCCGACTGTCGGCCACTTGACTTACAAATGATTTCTTATCCTCTTTTACTTCGCTAACCTCCGGTGTTACAAGCGGAAAATCAGCTTTTGCTGAATTATCTGGTGCAACAGCTAAGTCGGTCTCCTCGCCACCGTTCTGCTCATAATTTAATCTTTCATCTGCAGAACCTGCAACAATTTTAAGTCCAATCTCGCTGAAAAAAAAACTAAATCTATACTCTCATCACTATTCTTCCTCTAAAAGTTATAATAATGAAGTACAAAATCAATAAATGTCCTTTGAAAACGACTCTTGTCTTGACAAAAAATTGAGTAGTCTATTACATAACGAATTTAATTACCCAATTCTGAACTTTCAGGCACAGAAGACTCCGTATTTAACATTCCAGAAGTGTTGTTAATAACATCCTTTTCTACAGCTACCTCACCAGCAGCTAGAATACTTCTTCCTCCTTCCATATCAATTTCTTTAACATCTTTCTCAGTAACAAGTGGAGATCCTAACTCGCTTCCAATTACTCCGACTTCCTCAGTCGCGACTTCACCCTCACTCAGTGATGCATCTGGCGAAGCTTTAGCAGAAGATACTGGACCAGGAATAACTGAAGGACTCAAATTTGTCTGTTCACTAATCATTTCTATAGTTCCACAATTCTGTTTTGGTAAAGTAGAATCAGGAACTTGTTCCAAAGCTTCTTCACCAGTTCCCTTTAAACTGCTTTCAGCCAAATCTGGATATCGTTTTTCCGTGTAGAGAGCTTCTTTTGAGCACTCATGGTTGAAATCAGAAACTTCTTGCTCATCCTGAAGTTATGAGAGCATGTAACATATCTATTCTGCAAATATTAAAAAACCTACTATTAATACGTAAAAAGACAATGTTCACTACAGAAATATACCTCTAAGAAACTTTTATTAACAAAAAAACTGCATACGCTGGTTTTAATAACACCGTCATTACTGCTACTCACTGCTTCCTCTGCCTTTGATTCGTGCTGAGCTTCGTCACACTCAGACTCTTTAGTAATACCTTCCCGTCCAACTAACACATTATCCAAGACAAGTATACTTTGTTTTTCTCCAGATATATCTTCAGCAACGACAGCATCTTGAGACCTACCGCCTGAAAACTTTGTCTTTGTATAGTCCCCATTAAAAGTCGCAAACGTCTCTTGAAAGTAGCTATAATACTTCCTCAGTCTTTGGATAAAAATTAAAAGCAACAACCTTCAACCAATTCGCTTGCAGTTCCTCCTTCAACAACAATTTTATCTGTTTTATCTTCGTTTTCATTTTTGCTTCCACTAGTGCCAACTGCCTCTACTTGTTCAAGTTTCGCTAAAATCTCGTCCTTCACAGTTTTCACATCATCCAGTAACTTATTCCCCGTTGGTATTTCAATATTGGCACAATGAGAAGTGTTAGAAGAAACTGTTTTTATATTCCCTTCTAAGCTGGAAGCTGGCAATAAATCTTTCGCTCTTGGCCTTCGGGAGTCTGTAGTATCTTTAACACTTTCACTAGACTTTGAGTTTTCCTGAAAATTAGTTATGGTTCTATTTCACTGCATACACAAAATACTTACATT